AGAAAATTAACCGTTGTGAACTTCTCTAGGTCGAATTTTGTTCGCATGGAGAGCCATACAGTTCAGTTTAAGAAGGTCGGTAGGATGAAAATCAAAATCAGCTCTAGCCCCTCGTTGGAATCTCAACCATCAGACGATGAAATATTCAGGGGTATGGGCCACATTCACAACTGCTTTTCTTTGCTCCAAATAGCGACCTTCACCTTTTTTCTTCGAAGCTTTGCCTCTGTAGAGAAGCACATTACAAAGCGTAGATCACACTTCACTTGAATTCATTGGAAGGGGGTTAATCAATAAGGCTAACATACTAGAGACAGCGAATGCGCCCATCTTTATGGATTCATCTACCATCGATTTGATGCCCTGGATATTCCAAGCGACATCATCATCCAGCTTAACAACTGCTTGCACTGTAGGACAAACGGCGGCAACGTATCTCAGGGCGGCAATGTTCTGCAATGCTAAACAATATTAGATCGAAGTTAGAGCTGAATAGAGCCATACACACATAAAATACGTGCGTAGTGCGTACAAAACTTGTATACACGTACAGACTACTATGACAAAAACTAAACTATTCGATTGAAAACTGTTTTCAGCAGCAGCTTCCAATTGACTGCCACTGCATAGTCGGCACTCCCATGAGATTCACTGCACAGTGTCGCTCAGTGCGGTTTGAGCGGTAGTTCGGGAATTCTTCTACAGAAAATTCCCTGCGATCTACGAGAGAGTTGTTGAAAAGCAAAAGGTGAATAAGGTGTTTTCGTGAGAAACGCTGAACAGACTTTTCCTCTTTTGCCTTAAAAGATTTTGTCCGTAATACGACTTCTTGTATCACCCAACACGATCACGGTAGGCGCTGTTGGATGGCTGCTCCTGAGGACTGATGAAGTCACGTTGGCTGTCTTGCTGCTGTGGCATGCCCCACTTTGAGATGATACTGAATCTTCCAATATGGGTGGCGTAGAGCTAGACTGAAGTTCAGCTCACGGAACTGAGCTCTCCTCAAGCGGACCCTCTATGCAAGCTCATACCTTTTGGGCACTTTTGCTGATGAAACGGTGCAACCTGACCATTGCAGTGGACTCTGCTTTGACAGCGATTCTGCTCATGATACTTTTCGGTTTTCAGTGCGCACAGTACTTAGTATCTTCCAAAGATGAAAGACCCGCGCTGAGACATCGCTTAAAATGAGCTTCTCAGTAATCTCACTTGATGACCTTCCCGGCGCGGGTCACATGGATGGCACGATCCCCATACAACCTGTTGTTCCCGAAGTGATACGTCTGCTCTCCGGGAGACTTGACTGAATGCCGGTTAAGTCTCAAATAGGCTTGATGTTGGATATTTTTTGTGCTTTCCGAGATTGGCTGGAACTTTATCTCTTTTGCTGACGGCAGTCTTATTGGTTCAATCAAACTCCTTAACTGGCAATTCTTCTGAGGCTCACCGGTTTCCTGGACATATGGTGTGACAGTGAAAGTATTGTCTTCTTGCACGACCGGGCTGTTCAAGTTTTATTTTATAACCCTGCTTCAGTGGATTTTACTGCGCATGCTCTCACATGGCCTCGAGTCGGAGATTACGAGAAACAACCGATGGCACTGGACCACACTAACTCCAACCCCTCACACACTCATGCCTACTCCTCGCAAAAACCATCTTCCGAAAGCTTAAAGGATAGCTCGTTACTTTGAAGTCGAAGTCAACTCTTTGCTCTCCTCGTATAAAAAGCCGTTGTTCGATTCCCTGATGCCTGTAATCATAAACCGCAAACCAAGCCACAAATTTCTGGAAGGTTGGCGTGTTTCATCTGTGTCGCTTTTTCAGTCCTCCTGAGGTAGTTTCAGTGTGAATTGTGAGAAATAGTGAGAGTGAGAGAATCGGAGTCAGGAGTCATAAATTAACTAAGAGAAGTGAAGATTGTGCTGAGAAGAGGGCCTGGCTGACGGCAAGGGGAATGTAGCAAAGTCAGCTCTAATTAACTAAGTGTCCCTTGAAAAAAATGCGTTGGACTCGATTTTCAAAGCGATGAAGTTGCTGAAGTTGTTTTGAAAACGGTATAGACGTTCACCTGCTTCTTTGCTGCAGTTTCTTCTTATTGAAAACGGCTGCAGCAGCAAAGTGCTTCTGAAAGATTTGCGAGGGGGGGGGGGGTGGGGCGGGGAAGAGGTGAATATGATTTATATTAAGAATTTATTAAGAACAGCATTGAGAATAGAAAGAAGAAGGCCGATGAAGAAATAAATGGTTGACAAATTCAACCCAAACTGTCCTGCCTTCAAAGTAAGATTTCTGTACGTGTCGTTGAAGTGAGCTTGCAATATATCTCCATGAAGGGATGCCTCAGCTTTCAGCTCGTCATCGAGTGACCCATTATGAGCAAATCCGGTAGCGAAAATAATACTAAAATTATGCTGAAAAGGATAGATGATTCACATTTGCAAGTGCTCTCTTTCATATTGAAGAGAATATGGTAACGTTTGACCTCGTGCTGAAGTTGACCGTATGTTCGACGCCATAGCTCCCGCATCGATTTGTCAGCTGCTCGTACATGAACAATCACAAAATAATGTAATCTGCGACAACTCACGCGATCTTGGTACGATACTGTATTTGAGAACAGCGAGTCGCTGCAAAAACATCTTGAATTAGATAGCCGAATGGAGGCCTGACTATTTCTAATAGTATCATGGTGAAGCAAAGCTAAAACATGATGCACTTATTCTCCTTGCCGCATATTTCTGTAGCGATTTTGACCCAGTCGTGTAGCAAAGCGTATTTATGAACACTCCTCTGCCGATTCACCCTTGGCAGATCGCTGATTTTGTGTGAAAAATGCGAAATGGAGAGTATCACTTCCGTTACAGTTTGTTATATCCATCCCGTCCAACCATGCTCAGCCCCTCTTTCCTGCAATATTAGACCCCTTTTTATTATTTTTCATGTGTACCTTATTAGGCTTCTCTTTTTGGCTTTCACATTCAATATCAGGGTAGGTGTGTGATTGAAGCCATGCATTCTACACCTTATATCGTTCCCAGCTGCCCGGTTCCAAAATTGTTTTAATTCCATTTCACACTCTCAAGGTGCATGCTGGAAGCAGAAAAGAGACCTCGTTTTCTGTGCCGTGCTCTTCTGGAAAAGCCAGCGGGGAACGAAAAGAGTTCCACTTGTTCCTGGAGAGCTCAGCAATTGGGATGGTCCCCTTCTCTCGACATCAGATCCGGACGGTTTCAAACCAGCTTTGCGCGTACGAAACGAGCACAAGAAAAGGGGCGTTGCGATAGTAAATAGAGTCACCTAAGCGAGGATTCTAACCATAAACCTATTGCGCGCCCTTTCTTTGGTATCCAAAGGAGCGGGCAGTGGGAAAAGGGTATGGCTGCGTTTATACTTTGCAGCAGCCTACGCCAGCGTACGCTAGCGTTTCCAGCGTTCGGCAGCGGCAGTGGCAAGGGAAGGATGGATATCGATCTAGCGTCACCAGCGTACGCTAGCGTAACGCTAGCTACGCTAGCGTAGCGAGGGCAAGGAAAGCATAGGTATCGATTTAGCGTTTTCAGGTATATATGTATATGTATGTTATATGTAATATATAGGGTTTGGGTTTTCTCTAAAGGGTTTGGCGATCTAGGCTCTGCCCCCTTGACCACGCCCACTTGCTTTTTGCGGAATTTTGATATTTTTCAAAATTTTTGCGTTTTTGGTCTGCTACGTGAAGCCCCGCCCACTGTGAGAGGCTCCGCCCACTCCGAAGAAGCCACGCCCACTTCACAAAAGTGGGCAGATCGGCAGTATAGAGCTTGCATGCTAGGGTCTCGTCCGTCACTCGGAACAAATAAATCAGGCAAAGTTTGTTCCGAGTGACGGACGAGACCCTAGCATGCAAGCCAAGACTCTATACTGCCAATTTGCGATACTTCTGAAGAGTAGATGAGAGTTCTTCGGAGCGGGCGGAGCCTCTCGCAGGGAGCGATGCTTCACGTAGCGGACAAAAACGCAAAAATTTTGGAAAACTATCAAAATTCCGCAAAAAGCATGTGGGCGTGGTAGGGGGGGGGCGAGGCCTAAATCGCCAAACCCTCTAAAGAAAACCCAAACCCTATATATTACATATAATATACATATATACCTGAAAACGTCAATCGATACCTATGCTTTCCTTGCCCTCGCTACGCTAGCGTACGCTAGAATACTCTAGCGTTACGCTAGCGTACGCTGGTGACGCTAGATCGATATCCATCCTTCCCTTGCCACTGCCGCTGCCGAACGCTGGAAACGCTAGCGTACGCTGCCGCAAAGTATAAACGCAGCCTATTT